TTTTTATGAGGGTTTGCAACGAAATTCGTTTTTCGTCAAAAATTTTCGACACAATCTGAATTTCGTCAAAAAATTCATAAATATAATTTCCTTTTGATTTATTTTTTATAATGGTTTTCGGCGGAATCTGAATTCAGTCAAAAAATTGATAAATATAATTTCTTTTTGGTTTATTTTTTTATGAAATTTTCGACGAAATTCATTTTTTGTAGAAATTTTTTGACGAAAAATGAATTCTGTCGAAAAATTCAAAATTATAATTTCTTTTTTATTTATTTTTTTATAAGAGTTTTCGATGGAATTCATTTTTCGTCGAAATTTTTTGACAAAAAATTCATAAATATAATTTCTTTTAACATATATTTTTTAAAAATTATTCTATGGAAATAATTTTTTGTCGAAAATTTTAGACAAAAAATAATTTTCTTCAAAAAATTTCGACGAAAAATAATTTTCGTTGAAAATTTTTAACGAAATAATATTTTCATCGAAAACTTAGAAAAAATACGTTTTTCGTTGAAATTTCCGTCTTTAATTTTGACAAAATATTTTTCGTTAAAAAATTTTTACGTAAAAATTTTCGTAAAAAATTTGGACTTTTATAAGGTTTTTGAAAACAACTCTATTGAAAAAGTTGTGGTATATGTATCGTGTTGCATCGCCTCTTTTTGCCTTTTCCAGTTCTCATTCTACCTGGTTGTGGTATTTCTTGTGGGCTTTTTGTGACACACTATAGTAGTATAGTCACTTTTGTAATAAACCCTACTATTCTAAAAGGGGAAAACAAGTATACTGTTACAGGAAGATTTTTATGATATGCTATAGAGATGTCGAACAGCGTGATTCCATTTTTTGTTTTTGTTTTGTTTTTTTAAACATGGACCCACTGTTAAATGTATCTGCTAGAAAGAGAGGAAAAATGTTGTTACAGGACACTCATCAACCCCATTCTAAAATCGGATCCGTTATATACTGGGTCATTGTTGATAAATATATAGTCTATTTAAAATTTCAAAAAATCACAACATAATGTTTTAACATTTAATAAATTCAATCTCTAAAATTGAAAAAAATTATTACATAATTATCTATTGTACATGATTTTCTTCTTATTTATTTTTTATTGTTATTAGTTATTTTATTCAATGTTGTGAAAATCGGACCGGATCGGCCGGGTTGACCCGGAACCCGGTGAACCGGTCATCTGACCGGTCCGATTATCACATTGGATCAGTCAAGTATCAGACCCGGTACGACCCTACGACCCGGTGCGATCCAGTCGATTTAGGTGAAAAATCGGTGACCCGGCTGGTTAACCGGTGACCCGGCCCGGGTATTAAAAACAAATTTAAAAAAAAAGTTTTCTAAAAAAAAATCATAATTGACATATTTGAGTGATCTGTTACTTATTGACTTACATAAGTTATGTACCTACAATACTAATATTATCTCAGTTATGCACTATGCAAGGAATTTTGATTTGATAGTTAGAGATGTCGTTTACCGAACCTGAAACACCAATATAACAAGCATTATTATGTGTTTGTTTGATCCTTTATTGGACAATAATGTATAATTTTTATTTTTATATTAAATATTTAGAATTTATATTATTTTTTTAAATATTTGAGTATATTTATAATTTTTAATATAAATTATAGATTTATATATAATTACCGGGTCATGCGGTTGAATCAATGACTCACTGGTTGAACCAGTGACCCGGTACCTCGACGGGTCATTAACCGGGCCGATTTTAATAACATTGATTTTATTAGTTGATCCTTAATACCATTATCAAATAAATATAAAGATTATAACGATATACACGTTATGTATTTATATTGTTAATAATATATAAATAGAAAATGGAAAATATATTAATGGTGTTTATTTTTATTCAAATATTTAATATATTACATCAAGGTCTTCAACTAAGTTGAGAAATTTAAATTTTTTTCAACTTTGATATTAGTAAGTGTAGTATTAAAAAAAAAGAATTAATAAAAAAAAAATTGACGCCATTAGCGCCAACATTGGCGCTTATAGCGCCAATTGTGGTGCCAAAGTAAAAAAAAAAAAAAAAAAAACGACGCGAGTAGCGCCAGAATTGGGGCCAGTAGCGCCAATTCTCACGCGAACAGCGTGGATATGTATTTGTATCAGACACCATTCGCGTCAATTTTTACGCGAAGCGCGTGAACATATATATATATGTGTGTGTTTACGTATATGTATAATAATAATAATAATGATAATAATAATAATAAAAAGAAATAAGTAATTAAATATTAAGATAAATGTATATAATATATAATAAATTAATAATAAAATAAATAATACTAACAATAATAATAATAATTGATTAAAAAGTAAAAATACGTTTAAATAAACTACAAAAAATTAATAAGACGTAAACATATAACATAAGACCATCTGATGATTGCTTACGAATATTTTCTAGAAACTTACACGTTGATGATTACGTGGTTAGTTATTATTTGAAAGGTAATCATTACTTAGTTATAATCTAATTAATTCGTTCCATTCTAACGAAATGCAACTTAATCGTAAGCAATTCTCTTTATATATATATATACATCGTTGTCCATAAGAAGAAAGGGAGAGCAATGAAAAGAAAGAAAAGAAGAAGAAGAGAGAGAGAAACCAGTGAGAAGAGAAAGAGAGAGAGAAAGAGAAATCAACAGAAAACAAAAAGAAGGAAAGCGACGAGACAAAAGGTAGTATTGAGAGGTTTTAAAAACATCCTCTCGTGTCCTTTTCAATCATTTTGGGAAAACGATGTTTAAGTTTAATACTTCTGTCATCTTACCGAACTCTTTTCTTTATATATTCTCTCATTTTTCTTATTTTCAAACGATATGAATTTTTATGCTACTGTCGTTTTGTTAAATTCTTCTCTTTTAATATTCCTTGAATTTACTTGTTACAGTAGTTTAGTTTTTGATTTCATTCTTTTACGGTTTCTTTATTTTCTTTTAAATTTGTTTTCTGATTGTTAATTTGGGTCGTTATTTGGTACCAAATAATTACAAAGAGAATATGTAAATTTAATTGATGAAGACTGCTATGAACTGAACCACAGAGTTTGGGTTCAGACGATTTGAGGGTAGTAAGGGACGCTTTATCGTGGTTTGAGCTCCTCCACAATAAATCTTTCATATGCAGAAGACCATAAAGTTGGAAAATTATTTAGCTTCAGTTAAATATTACACAATGTATTATTTATTATATATTTCATTTTATTAAATTATCTGAGAGAATGGTATTTTCCGTTATTACGGCTGGAAATGGTTATAGTTAGAAAACATCAATGTTATTGAGAATTTTATCACGTGTGTTTGTTTTGTACTAACTTTTCTAGAAAATCATAATGCTTAGTCTAAGCGTAGCATGTGAAGGATGGAGTATCAATGTTTACTCTTACGAGGACCGCATGAAATTTTATATTGTAGTAGGAAATCAAGGAGCCGCTTTGATATTCTATGCTGATAGTGTGGAGACTTACACCTATAGGCTAGATTAGGATAAGACTTTTGTATTGTATAATTATGTGATGACAGTATGTAAGATATAAACTGAAGTGATGTAATATTTAGTAGACTGTAGGACCTATGTAAAATAACTCCATTTGTATCTGACATAACATTATCTATAAAGTAATGTCAGTTGATGTTTATATAATTTTCTTTACTGTTATTATTATAAATGTGTATTAATTAAACAACAATAACTTCTTTTCGTCTTATTCTTCACTGACGATGCATAAAGTGAAAAATTATATATATATATATATATATATATATATATATATAAGAAATCATGTAATATTCCTTACAAAAGTATTTATTAAGGGATGTTACAGTAAGTATTAATAAAATTTTATAGTTATGTTATGCATAAAATCAATGTTATGTTAATATATATAAATAAATTATGTAAGTTTGATAAATATACATCTAAATAATAAATAAATAAGTAAGCTTGTAAGCTAAATAAGATGATTATACTGAGATTATACTCTTTTCCGACGTAAGCTTGGAAAATACCAAAATACGTATGTACGTTTGAAAATTTAGGAAGATGATTACATATCTTTGAATTTATAGAAGTTTAGGAGTGTGAATGGGTTACACTAGATTAAACTTTGATATAAATAACTTAAATTTATATAAAATATTTTAATATTAACTTGGTCTATTATCTCTATGTAAGCAAAATTATGAATTTGGTCCGACTTATATTAAAAAATCAAAAGTTTTGTCCAAGTCTATTAGTCTATTTATGTTTATCAGATCTTCAATACCAATTAAGAATTACAAAAAATGAATAAAATAATATTATTTTATTAATTAAAATTATTTAAATATTTATTCTATTTTAATTAAAATAAGTAATTTGATATAAATTAACCTGTAGATATATTTTTATAAGCCAACCTTATAAAAATAGATTCTTGTTTTCTAAATATATTTTTTATTACTTAAATCTATATATTAGATTTGACCTGACGTAGACCTAATGGGGTGTTTGGTATAAGTATTTGGTATAGAATGACGGGAAAGTGGGGTGAAAAATATTTAATTATCATGTTTTGGGTGAGTATTGTGAACAAAATCTCAGAAAATATTTTTCCCAGATATTTCTCTTTTCAACTACACACAGGTAAATAATTATGCCACAACTACACATAGACGAATAATTATGCCAATAATCCTTTGATATTTTTTTTGGATTCTGAATATAATATGTTGAGTCAAATAATTATCCCTTTTAAAGGGTATTCTGATATTTTCGATTCACATTTCCATCAATATTTTATTATCAACCAAATATAGCATAAGTAGAATGAACCCAACTTTCTCCACAAAATTTTGGCCAATCAAACACTATTTCGTAACTTATCAACAATAAACAAATTCTCGTACCAAATCCTCAACCGCTTGTTAGTATCCATTCTGACAAGTTGTTGTCGGCATACATCAATATTCAATGGTACTCAAATCATGGCAAGAAAAATGACATTGAACAATAACAAAATAATTTATGCGGTCAACAAAACTGGTTGATGAGAATATACTTAAAGGTGCATTTTTCTTAATAAATAAAATAAGCGAACAAAGAAAATTGTATGATATGAAATTATGAATATTTGATTAAAAGGACTGGTTTCAAGTCCCGAAAACTTTGCACGCAGAGATAGAAAATGGCCGGTGATCACGAAATCAACGCAGCTCTACGTATGCACTTTCACAATCTCTCTAACTGTTTTTTTTTTTTTTTTTTTCTAATCACTAAACTCTGCGTTTTTGCTTTTATTTTCAGTTCAAAACGAAAGCGCCTCCGAGCCGGACGGCGAGGATTCTCCGATCGAGCAGGTGGCACTCACGGTTCCGGTCACCGACGATCCGTCACTGCCTGTCTTCACTTTCAGAACATGGATCTTAGGAACTCTAGCTTGCGTTCTTCTCTCGTTCCTCAACCAATTCTTCTGGTACCGCAAGGAGCCGTTGTCCATGACGGCGGTCTCGGTGCAGATCGCGGTGGTGCCGCTGGGGCACCTGATGGCGTCGACGGTGACGAAGCGAGTGTTCTTGAAGGGGAAGAGGTGGGAGTTCACGCTGAATCCGGGGAAGTTCAACGTGAAGGAGCACGTGCTCATCACAATATTCGCCAATTCGGGAGCTGCTAGCGTCTACGCCATATATTTCGTGAGCGTAGTCAAAGTCTTCTATCGGAGGGAGTTATCCATGTTTATGGCGGCGCTGGTGATTATAACCACGCATTTATTGGGCTTTTGTTGGGCCGGACTTTTCCGACGGTATTTGGTGGAGCCCGCCGCTATGTGGTGGCCCCAAAATCTCGTTCAGGTCTCGCTTTTCAGGTACGTCATTCATAGTTCTTTATAAATAAGACACGTGTCATTAATACATAAGAAAGAAAATAATAATTTTTTAAAATATTAAATGATTCTAATTTTTAATTGATAATCTTTAATTTTTTAACTTTTGTTTTTGTGCGTTAACAAAACTTACAAAAAAATAATTATTTAATCTTAAAATTTGTCTCTTGAAAGAAGAAATTATTCAATCGAGAGATTTATGAATTACAATCAAACATAAGAATTAGTGTGCGTATTCAATTCAGGCTGCCCGTGGTCTCATTTTAAGCATAAACTCTTTAAAATTATTATTATTTTATGTAAAATCTTAATATAAAAATTAGAACAACAATGATTATTATTTTGACATGCCGAAACGGTAGTGGTTTCGATTCTTGAGAGTCATAACTTGTGGAGAGGTTCAAATTTGAAACCAGATCAGTTGACCTTATTAAGATTTTGGACACCGATTATTATTTACCTAAAAAAGGAAAAACTATTGCTTCATGTGAAAGAAAATGTTATTTATTTATTACCCGTATTTATGTAATTTACTTGTCATCTATTTTATAATATCTTATCTTCTATAATATTTTTGGTTGCTTAATAAGTCATTCTATACTTTGTTTGCATTATTGCTTAAGTTATTTTAAGTTCTTCATTTGTCGAAAGTTTTATTGTTTTGACTATTTTATAAAGAGTAATATGGTATTATAAAGCTTCCGCCAGGTTGAGGAAAGAGTTTTGGCTCATCGTGTGGGTCTATAATGTATAATCTTATGTTGTATTTGCAAGAGACTAATTAAATGAATAAAACCTGGAAGTCACATGACAACGAATCGAATCGCTGGGCTAATTTTCCTTTTATTTTGACTATAATAGGTCTCATGTAAATTCAAAAGCATAATTTTGCAGCTTCTTTTTTTTTTTATTTTTTAAATACTGCTATTTCGCGTTAAAATTATTTTTTACCAAAAAGTTATAGATGATGTATTGTGGCATTGTTTAAGCCCAAATCTTTCTAATGTGACCCCAACAATTATCCTCAACTTCTACCATGAAGAGAAATTTTAAACATTTTTTAGGATTTTATTATAAAGAGTAAACACCATTTTTAGTCCCTGACAATATCTACGAAGTCCTTTTTAGTCCCTGGCAATAAAAAAGACCAAATTGATCCCTGAAAATACAAGAAAATGGCCACTCTACATATTTGTGTAAGAGTATTTAAGGGTATCTTCCAGTTTTTAAAACTTTATATCCCGAGTTGTTCCCTAACTTGAAATTATTGCAAATTTAAAATTTTCCGCCTTTGTTAGTGCTGTTCTGCTTGGGTTCATCTTTTTATATTTTTCTACATTAATTAAGCTATCATATTTCATGCCACTACAATTGTGAGAGCAATGCAACACTATTTGAGAATAACCTATGCATAAGTAATGATGTGATTACGCGTAAATAATGCCACTGGCTTGAAGATATCTGTTCGACATTAACAGTCATAAGAGTTTGTGTTAAGGCATATTGAGTAGTAGAGTTGATAGCGTTTCTTGTGGTGATAATACTCATCTTGTGTTCTTAAGTCACTCTATGCCCAGAAAGGCACATGGCTGATGGAGTGATCCTCATGAAAATGATGGAGACTGGACGAATTCTGTTCAGTTGTATGTAGACATTTAGAGCAATTTTTAACTAACATATATAAGTGATCGTGTTTTTAACTGACTACATTTCTAATTCCATGTTATGCAAATCAATTTCATTATTCTTACACACAAAAAAATTGATATCAGGGCACTGCATGAGAAGGAGGAGAGGCCAAAGGGCGGGTTAACTCGGAATCAGTTCTTCCTCATAGCATTTGTGTGTAGTTTTGCTTATTATGTCTTCCCAGGCTACTTGTTCCCAATGTTAACATCACTTTCCTGGATCTGCTGGATGTTTCCAAGTTCTATTCTTGCACAACAGTTTGGTTCAGGGCTGCGTGGACTTGGAGTTGGGGTTGTTGGTTTTGACTGGTCCAGTATATGTGCTTATCTTGGTAGCCCTCTGGCTAGTCCTTGGTTTGCTACGGTTAATGTTGCTGCTGGTTTTGCCATTTACATATATGTTATCACGCCCATTGCTTATTGGCTGAATATTTACAAGGCAAGAAGATTTCCCATTTTTTCAGATGGTCTATTCATGTCCAATGGCCAAAAATACAACATTTCAGATATTGTAAACTCCAACTTTCGCCTTGATCTGGAGGCTTATGAGCGTGAGGGCCCTCTTTATCTTAGTATCAATTTTGCTATGGCATATGGCTTTGGTTTTGCTTGCCTTGCTGCAACCCTTGTTCATGTAATGCTTTTCAATGGGAGGTACAAGGTTTATTCTTTTTTTAATTTTTGAAACATTGTGTGTCAATGTGGGTTTTGAATTTAGTGTTTCAATGATGCAGTGAAATATTGCAGCTAAGCAAGTCTGCCTTCCAAGAGAAGAAGATGGATATACACACAAAGCTCATGAGAAAATATTATAAACAAGTTCCTGAATGGTGGTTTATTTGCATTCTTTTGTTCAACATCACGGCAATTATTTTTATATGCGAATATTATAATGAGCAACTCCAGCTGCCATGGTGGGGTGTGTTTTTAGCCTGTGGTGTTGCCATATCGTTCACACTTCCGATTGGAGTAATCAGAGCCACAACAAATCAGGTACAGATCTACGTTATACTACACATATTGCAATTTTGGTTATGTAATGGCAATTTCATCATTTCATGCGGTAACGTTATAAAATTTAATAGCAATTTCTGAGGTACAACACTGCACTGATGCAACAAGTAGGTGAAAGTTTATGGGCTGTTGGATTCTGCCAAAGAACTATACTCATTCAATTCAGTGGTTCATAAACTGGCATGCTAGCAGTTGCACTGTTGTAACTAAATCCATATTGCACCACGGAATTGGCTAAACTTAAATGGTTGAATTTGAAAGCTTTCAAAAAGTATAGGTGCTACCTCTGGTAAATATAACTGGAAATAGTTTGATATTGTACCTTGAATTCTCAAATGGGTAACATCAACAATTTTTTTGTTCCTGAGAAGGCACCAGCTTTGAATGTGATCGCAGAGTACATAATTGGATACGTCTACCCGGGATATCCTATTGCTAACATGTTGTTTAAAGTGTATGGGAACGGGAGTATGAAACAGGGGATTTTCTTTTTGGAGGACTTTAAGCTTGGTCACTACATGAAGATTCCTCCCAGAGCAATGTTCGTAGCACAGGTTTGCATACCCAGTCTTCCTCATCATTAATAGAAGTGAAGAATTATATTACAGTGAATTTTTATGTTGAGTAATGGTGCTAGCTCTAGCACTTGATCTTGGGCGATTAAAAAAAGAAAAAAAGAAAAAAAATAGTGACCTGCCCAACCTGTTCTTAATAATGATAAAACATGAAGTATCATTTACAAATTTACCATTTTCATGTTGGGAATGCAACCCAAAACCGCATCAGTTTGGGTTCACGGAGAAACATATGGGAGTTTTGCTTCTCTCTTTTGATATGAAATTTTTCAAAACGACATGTTTCTTCCTCCCCCCTCACAAAAAAATAATTATGATACATGAGATAACTTATTTGGAAACCCTTTCATGTTTTATCATTATTTTGCATAAGTCAGATTTGTGAATTTCATAAATTAGCCCATATATTTATTTTTTCTGTTTTATTATTGCTAATAGTTAATTGCATAAAACTTGTAAATATTAAATTAATGTTTTATTTACTTAAAATGTGGTTGGAAATATTTAATTGGCTATTATTTTGTATGTTTTAATGTTGTGATTTAATTGTTTTTTTGTTATTTTTTATTTTATGAGATAACTTAATATGTTTAAGATATTAACTTTCACAATTAATTTTAGAATAACATGTATTAGTGCGGTTAGTTGTGACCTCGTGCATCTACTTGATTAAGAGGTACTCAAGAAATATCCTTTTACGTACCTGGGATCAATTTTGCAAAAAAGTGATAAGATTGATGAGGATGCAAATCATAGAATCAGAACAGGTTGGATGAAATGACGGAGTGTATATGGGTTTCTATGTGATCGCAAAATTTCCCTTAAGCTAAAAGGAAAATTCTATAGGACAACATTAAGGCCTGCAATGTTACATGGAGCTGAATGTTGGTCGGCACATAGGCATCATGAGTATAAAATGGGAGTAGCATAAAATGAGGATGTATGGTTATACGAGGATGGATAAGATAAAAAATGAAGATATTCGACGAAAGGTAAAAGTAGTACCGGTAACTGTAAGATAAGGAAACATAGACTGAGGTGGTTTTGGGCATGCAATGAGACGGCTTCGAGATGCTCTTGTAAGAACAAAAGTTTGTTACCAAGAGCTCGACACAAAAAGAGGTAGAGGTAGACCGAAACTTATCTAGGGAAAAGTAGTTAAACAAGACTTAATGGAGTGAGATGTAGATTGACGGATGATGTGTCTTAGGACGGAATGGAGAAACGCTATAAGCAGGGTGGAAGGTTAAACTTGTTATTATTCCTATATTCCACATGATCCATTTTTAATTCTTTTTCTCTTCAATCCCCCCTTTCTTTGTTTCCCCTTCTTGTCTTTTATCTTATTTGCCCCTTCCCCAATTTTTTATTTTTTATTGTATTTTATTATTTTATTTTTATTTTTAATTTTATTTATTTATTTTTATTTGTATTTATATTTTATTATTTTATTTGTTTTAATCTTCTCTTATTTATCTTTGAGTTCATCGACTGACTTCAATTAAGTTGGGTTAAAGGTGCTGTTAATGTTGATATATTAGTGTGGTTAGTATTCAACTTTTTCTATCCATAACTGACTCTCGAATTTACTTTTGCAAACAAGTTTTCATTTTTTTTTAAATTTTTTTTCTCTTATCATATAATTCGTTACGGGGAAAAGTGTGTATCATTTTAAAGGATACACACTTATATCTTTTTAAGAGAGATAAAGGGACAAATTTGGAGAAGAGAGAGTGGAGAGAAAAATTTATAATTTGAAAATTGAAAAAACATACTACATTTATCTAAAAGGACCATCATTTTAAATGACAAACAATAAACCTTTAGTTATGACTCTCTTTAATGTTTTATTTTTTATTGTGGTCGAGATATACTTACATATTGCTCATACGTTCTCTCTGTAGTTTTTTTATAAATGGTTCACATTATCCGCTTATCTGAAAGTACCTTTTATCAAATATTCCCTTGCTTGCATGATTCCTTTTTAGATACTTGGCACCACCATATCTGCATTGGTGCATTTAGGAACGGCATGGTGGCTCATGAACACTATTCCAGACATATGCAATAGAGAATTGATTCCAGTAGGTAGTCCATGGACTTGTCCTAGAGATCATGTATTCTATGACGCATCTGTGATATGGGGCTTGATAGGGCCTCAAAGAATTTTTGGAAATCTTGGACATTACTCGGCCATAAACTGGTTCTTTTTGGCTGGGGCAATAGCTCCTATCTTGGTTTGGCTAGCACACAAGGCCTTTCCTGATAAACAATGGATTAGACTTATCAATATGCCCGTACTCTTAGCAGCAGTAGCTGAAATGCCTCCAGGTACCCCAGTGAACTACACTAGTTGGGTTCTTGTTGGTTTTGCCTCAGGGTTCATTGCTTACCGCTACTACCGTGGCTGGTGGAGCCGGCACAACTATGTCTTATCTGGGGGACTTGATGCTGGATTAGCCTTCATGGGAGTGTTGCTTTACTTGTGTTTGGGGATGAAGCAAATCAACCTAGATTGGTGGGGCAGTGATTTGGATGGATGCCCTCTAGCTTCTTGTCCAACTGCTAAAGGGATCAAAGCTGAAGGGTGCCCTCTTTACTGAGTTGTAGATGACATAATTGTGCAGTTATAGTAGTAAGTAACAAAGTTATTTATACATATCTCCCCAAAAAAGTAATGTTATTTGTATATAAATGTCTGTACAATTCTTGATTCATTAATGTTTGTAAGGTTGAGTATAAGTTTTGTAGAGGTTTCTCATATCGATGTAATGAATATTGATGTCAATTTGCATTCTATTTATGAATATGCCTATCAATTCACTATATGGTACATAAATGTTGACTTACGCCTGATTTTGGACTATAAAATAGTTATCTTGATGATGCTAAAGCCACTTATATATCTGGAAAGGAAAACACTTTCATTGGGTCACAGCCATACATACCTTATATAGAATTTTCTGGCAATTGAAACAAAGATATTTTCGAATATCTGCTCAATGCCGAGATTTAAAGTTTATAGGTATATTTTGAAGTCTAATGAAACTTATTATAATTATTGGAAGAGAGTCCTTTTCTACCACCACAAGCTTCAGACTGAGGAATAATTTTAAAAGTATTCCAAATTGGTAGATAGTTTTAAAATTGACCATACTTTACTCAATAACACCTCGCACTGCCACATACATAGTAAATGACATTAAACGTTTTGTCGTGTTAAAGCATGCGATATGAAACCCGTAATATTTGTCAGTCTACTTTCATTTTTTTTTATTATAAACTAGAGGTATCTTCCAGCTGAGCCAATGCTATTTGGGGCGTGTACATTGGATTGCCTTATCCAAAAAGTTTTTTTTTTTTCGGAAAAAAGTGTTTTCCATAAAAGTTAAAGTTATTTAAACTTTTAATTTTTTTTTTAAAAAAATGGCTTTTGACTTTTTTTTTTTAATATTTAAAATTTGTAGCTTAAAAAAAATAAATTTTGACTTTTTTTTATGACTTTCACTTTTTTCTAGGTAAAAAAATTAATTTATTACATTTTTAATAAAAAATTATGAATTTATTGCTATTTTGAAAATAATTGCCCATGTATTACATAAGCTGAGAATTCAAATTTTCCTACACACCCTTCGATTTGTATGCTGACATGGGTTCTACATCTAATTTTTTCTAACACATGGGTTCCACATGCTTTTTATCTTTACAACATGAGATTTCAATTCTCATTTAACATGAGAAATATAAAACCCATTACATAATGTCACACCTTAATTAGGTGGGAGGGGATATATGAAAAAAAAAAAATTAGGTGGCAGGGGTCACGCCCAAACCAGGTATCACTTTCTGGTGGGTCACGTCCAAACCAGGTGTACCAGTGACGCCTAAAATAGGCGTGATTCACTGCAATCTATAAATACCTCAAATTTTTTATTTTAATCATTTTACTCTCTCTAATACACTGGTGCTCTGTACCTTCCGTGGAAAATTGATTAGCAAAACTCTGTCAAAAAAGTAAAATTTTAATAGTTGCTATGTATAACTTGACATAGGATATTGTAACACACAAATAATGTTACGCACAATGTTACGACCACATCTTAACCGTTGATTTCCGCCAATCAACGATTATCATTTTTCAAATCAAACTTATAATTAATTATTAATTCGCAATAAATGATAATCGTTGATTGACGGAAATCAACGGTTAAGAAGTGATCGTAACATTGTGCATGATATTATTTGTGTGTCACAATATCCTATCCCGTATATCTTTAAATTACAAGTTTAAATTGCACTGACAGATTAAGAATATGTTAATGAATTACAAATTTATCAGTGACTTAAAAAATGTCAGTGACCAAAAAATATCAAATGATATAGAATATTTTCACGGGAGTGAAAATAATTATAGATATCTTACATAAGATCTCGCAATTTTTGACTGATCCGTGAAAAATCGAAACTTCTCAGAAAAAGAAAAAGAAAAACTGCTATGGAAAACAGAACGAACGAGAAAGCTTCATCTTTGAGATGGAAAATACTTCGTCAAGCTCTTCTCTCTCACCCTTCTCCTTCAAGCCAAGGTAATTCTTTGCCAAAATTTCTACGATTTCTTTGCCAAAATGCTTTTATTGGTTTTTATTTTTTCTAAATAATTTTTTAAATTTTTTTGCAGATGAACTATCTCAAAGGGGTATTAAGCGCATTTCAAGAAGGACGAGTCATGGATTCAACTTGATACCTTCTCATGTAATCGAAGATGAACGTGGATCAAACAAATGCGATGGTTCTTCCACTAGCACCAGGGATGCCCGTGTTTGTTACACTTTACCCATTCCTGGCGCTCCACAACTGTTTTTGACGTCAGTTTTTATGTTTTTCTTGCTTTTGGTGCTTACTCTGTTGGTTATGTTCCAAATTTCTTCATTGTTAGTTCTCCAAGCATCTAACTGATTGATTGATGCATGACAGGGAAATTGTCTATATTTCTTCTTCTTATCATTTTTTTTTTTTTGGTGAAATATGTTTTACATGAATGAACCTGATGAAATCTATAATTTTTAGCAAAAGAAATTACAGTTGCTTTAGGGTTTATTTTTGTTCATGTGCTTTTCTGTTTTTATTATAAATTTAGTTATTGAAGAAACTTCGGATAAGAGTGTTGGACAGTTGTGATAAAACTATACATTAATTTTTTATCTCAGTACCTCAACAAGAGAAGAGTGTTGGACAGGTTCTTATTTTCTTTCAGTAATGGTTTATCTCACAACAAACATTAGAAATTAGGAAAAATAGTTCTCAGAAAGTAAATTCTATCAAAACAGGCATACTCTAAATTGATTCTGGTTTTCCTATCACAGCACCTTACATTTAGTTTCTACAGAACATTTAGTTTCCATAGAAGTAAATGACAATCTCATTTTTGGGTTGAGCATTGATATGCTTTTGAATAATTATCTACTGGTATATTTTGTTTACGCAGACAAAGAGTGGACAACCGTGCCGACCTCAGTGATTTTGAGATTTGTGACAGATACAACATTGACAACACTGGGCTTGTCTGTAAGTTTCTTCACAACTCACAAGTACTCTTAGATTATTTCTTTTCTAAGCATGGAGGAACTAAAAAATTGGCAAAAAATATTTTCATCATTGTTGACTAAGAATATGGTGACGGATTTATACTCCTCTGTTGCGAACCTAGAGAAGTACAAGTTTTAATACCTCTGATCAGAATAAAGTGACACATAAGCTATAAGCTCATTATTAAAGTTTATATATTCTATATTGAAGTGAAGTCTTTCTTTTAGGACTACAACCAATTACGTTTGATTTTCAATATATGGTACAATTTGGTGTAGTTGGTTGGATTGTGTTGAAATTATAGGGTTTAGGAAGGGAAGCAAGAAAAGAGAGAATAGTCTGAAATTGATATTGGTTTGATATGATATGATACAAAAGACGAAGCAGTAATCTCCATTTATACTAATAGTAGACTCCTAATCCTAATTAAATTAGGAAACAAATCATAAAATATATGGAAATATGAAAATCATTCATAAGAGATCATCTAAGATACTCTAAACTATTCTAAGATATAATTATTGTAAAGAACCAATTCAACCCAAAAGCTTAAGCTAATGGGTGAGGGCTTTTTAATGGTTTTATATATCTCAGCACGCCCCCTCACACGAGAGCCCACTGGGCTTGAAGGGTGGATAATGCACAGGCCCACCTACTTGTGCGAACAAAGAAATTCCACTTGAAAGAAAGTGGGGGGCGGCGAGGATCGAACCCGGGACATGAGGCTCTGATACCATGTAAAGAACTAATTCAACCCAAAAGCTTAAGCTATTGGGTGAGGCTACATTAATGGTTTTTATATATTTCAACACGCCCCCTCACACGAGAGCCCACTGGGCTTGAAGGGTGGACAATGCACAGGCCCACCTACCTGTGCGAACAAAAAAATTCCACTTGAAAGAAAGTGGGGGGCGGCGAGGATCGAACCCGGTACACCGAGGCTCTGATACCATGTAAAGAACCAATTCAACCCAAAAGCTTAAGCTAATGGGTGAGGGCTTTTTAATGGTTTTATATATCTCAACACGCCCCCTCACATGAGAGCCCACTGGACTTGAAGGGTGGACAATGCACAGTTATAATATTATGAAATATTTTCTAAATATTCCAATCCTCCCCCTCGAGATGAAGCTTACTAAGCTCTAACCATGCTACAAATGAACCCTTTAAAAATAAAAAATAACCAAACAATATAATATAAACTCCACAAAACATGGCTAGAAAGGAACTCAGGGATGCTGCTGGAGACGTTGGAGAGACAAGCACAACTAGAAAGGTAATTTAGTTGGCATGTTGCATGACCAAGGAAGAAGAGATATTGATGGAATGATCATCTGTGAAAGTATCATGGCAAGCAATTATACACAATGAGAACTAAAACCTCTCCTTCAAGTTCATCTAGAATAGCATTTGGAAACTTCAAACTAGAAGAAAACTTGGGAGACCCAAAAAAAAATTAAATTTGAAATTGAGGCTGGTGTGCATCAGTGGCCATGAAGAATTTATTGCAAGGATGACTCCTTAGTGAGAAAGAATTCATCAATGTATGACTTATTTGTTAGAAAGAATTCACTGAAATGATCATCGGTGGGATTAGAAATATAGAATACGAAAAACACCGGATGGTTTGGGTCACCAAACAAATGTAAGTGTAGCAAATAGAAGTAGGTGCTAAACTAGGGCCAAGTAGACATGGCCAGGACAAAGACTGGGGCCAAAATACGTCTAGGACAAAGACTGGCAGGGCTAGACTTTATTTGGGAACACCTTCCAACTTTCTCCCACTCAAAGATATGCTTGCATTGGAATAGAACCAATTGGGCGGACAACATTAATAGATGAATTTTGTGTACTAGTGTACCAGATGTTGAGTGTTGATTCAGAGGGATTAATCATGCTTTAAGGCAATTTTGCTTAAGCAAAGGCTAGGTAAATTCAAAAGACCAAAGAACCCAAAGGAAAGGTGATGTGTCAACAGTGCTGGCTTAAAGGTGGGTATCAACGACCACTACCTAAACAATGAGGGTAGATCTGGAAAGAGGATAGTCATGTGACGCCAACAATAACTAGAATGATGGACATATGCGCTTTTACTTGCCAGAAGATGAAATGATGGCCTGATGGGTTGTGGCGGTGCGTGAAAGCTCCAATGATGGTGTAGCTTGGTGGTTTGGTTGATTAGAGACCACTGACGACAATGGTGTGGTCGGCGGTGTAGTTGATGCTGAGACAACAGTAGGTCTACACCAGCAATGGCGTAGAGGTGAGAGAGAAGGGAATATGTATATGTGAGAGTGCGTGGGAGATCAATTTGGCTTGAAACCACCAGGGATAGACCAATCTGGATGAGGTAAGATTAATGGTGTGATCATCGCCTTGAAAGTTTGCTGGACGGTGCAGTTGGCAGTGGTGGGCGATGACTGAAAAAACAATGACATGTTGTTGGAATGATGACACAACAAAAAAACACTTATGCGTGTGTGGGGAAGTAGTAGGTAGAAATGCCCATTGACAAAGATGCACCAGAGAGAAAAAGGTGATTGTAATTTGTGCACAGCTGACAAGAAGAAAAGAATCATGATGATAATGATGTCGTTACAATGAAGTTCTAAATTTTAGGAAACTTGATAGCGGAATATGACGAGGCAGGTCATAGACGATGGTACCACTCTAATACTATGTTGAAATTGAAATTATAGGGTTTAGGTAGGGAAGGAAGCAAAGAGAGAATAGTCTGAAATTGATGTTTGATATAATGTGATATGATATGTCACAAAACAATATACCCTATTTATACTGATAGTAGACTAAATAGTAGTTAATTGCGCCGCAATAGCACCGCGAGCCGCGCCGTATGGGCGTTGCAGTTCCTTGCAGCAAGAAATCGCGTCGCGTCGCACCAGAACGCAATAGCAACCATTGCGATCACATTTGCAGACATATTGCTGTCAAAAGGCAAAATGTCAATTTTGTCCTAAATTTAAATGTGTAATAGAAATTTTTTAAGGGTTTTTTAGTCTATCTGTGTCTCTCTTTGTCACTTCTTCTATCTCTGCCTTTAAAAAATGCTTCTTTTTGTCATTATTTCTGTCATATATCTATTTCGCTATTTCCGTAACCACAACCCGCTATAGCGCTATAGTATTTTTTGGGGTTGGCCACGACATACCGTAATCCGCATTTGATAACTTAGACTTCTAGTCCTAATTAAATAAGGGAAAAAAAATCATGAAATTTAAGGAAATATGAAAACCATTCCCAAGAGATCATATAAGATAGTCTAAACTATTTTAAGGTATAATAATGATATTATGGTATACGTTCTAGATTTTTCTAACAGTGTAACCCCTGTATTTTTAAGGTCTCTTTGTCTTAACTCTTAGTAAGCTTATTTGGGATAAGATTAGGCTGTTGACAACTATTTGGTGTAAACTTTTTGGGGGATTTCCCTTGTTAGATATGTTGTGGGCTTTACTCCATTAGTGTTTTCTCTTTTTCTTTATATATATATATATATATATATATATGTATATATATATGGGTTAAAAGTTTGTCATGTTACATGATAAACTTTTAATTTTCATGCACAAATAAACATATTTGGGATCCACCAAATTTTTTTTAAAAGAAAATAGAAAAAGGGCTGATGGGATTGTTGTTATCTGTGTAGGAAAGTTAACAGTTTGTCCTGTAACGTGACAAACTTTTAACCTATATATATATATATATACATATATATATATATAGGGTATGATGTTTGTCATTTTAAATGACATAAGTTATGTTATTTTAAGAGAGACATAGACACAAGGAAAGGAAATTATGGGGAAGAAAGTGGGTGGTTTTTTTTTTAATTTAAATTTTAAATAATTTTTTATTTATTTTGTGTCTATCTCTCATTCTCTCTCTTAAAATGACATAACTTTATGTCATTTAAAATGACAAACAGTTTTTCCATATATATATATATATATATATATATATATATATATATATAAACCATTCCCCATCAAACCCTGACTAGCGATGATGGGGTGTGGGCAATCCTTATACGCAACCTTACCTTTGCATATTTGCAAATAAGTTGTTTCTCGGATTAGAACCAGTGACCTTTTAATTACAAAGGAGTAATGTTGTAAATGTTAGAATTATCTATAGTTGATATTGTAATTATTTGTTTCCTTATTTGTAATTATTTGTTTCCTTATCTTCTTAGGACTCCTTACCTTTATAGTATTTGGATTTATTCCTTTAAGCACATTAGTCTTCTATATATTGTAACCTTTTGTTTGGATTCTATACACTAGCAATAATATTCACTTTTTCTTTCAAGTTGGTATCAAACTCTCAATCTGGGAGCCCTCTTAGCTTCCGCAGCTATCGCCTTGAGTGCAGAAACCTTTTTTGACAATCTCTGGTCACCTTGATGTCACAAGCTGCCACCGAAATTTTTTTTTGTGACCTCTTTGGACTGAGAAGACCATTGTTCATCTTAAAATTCCGCCATCTACTGATCTACAACAATTTCACGACTAGAAAAAGACCCCACGCTTCTCCAATTGAGCGTAAAAGCATCCAACGACTGTTCATATTCCGACCGACCATTTTTTCGGCAGTTTTTCACCTCTGACCACCACTGAACAGGTTGCACCATCGAAAACCACCATTCCACAAAAGCCAACTACCTTCCCAGCACGTGAAGGCACGTGCCGCCGCCGTTCTACCTTGGACCACCTCGGTTGTGATCGTCTTGCCTTCCTGATACTAGACCTGTCCTCACCTTCTTGATCAGACACTTTTCCAATAGTGGGTTTTTTATCTCGCCATAAAAATAGGATTTTTTTGGGTCACTCAAGCCTCCTTCGATCAGATCTGTCTTATTTGTTACCACTTGGGATGTTCAAAGGCTTTAGTGGTACTTACCCACTCTTTTTGTGTTGTTTATTTGTGTCTAATGGTTCATTTTTCATCTTTAAGCACTATGTCGGACGCTGAGAGCACTGCAACCGTTCCACCAAATGCTACACAACCTGTTACACACACCATGGCTTCTCTCTGTCCAAATGATCTTCGCACTCTCCATCAGAATTATCGTCTTAATGGAAAAAAATAATCTACAATGGTCCCAGCTACGTACGATCCTCGAAGGACGTCTTAGGATTGCTCATCTTGAAGGGATTGTCCTCGCCAAACAGATTCAAATTTTGCTGAGTGGGATGATGAAGGCTCTCTTATTTTGACGTTGTTATGGAACTCTGACTCCTGAAGTTAGTCAACATTGCATGTTCTTACATACCGTTCTTGAGATTTGGTACGTTCTTACGAAGACTTACTCAATGAAGCAAGATGTCACCACTTGCTATGATATGAGGAATATGATTTTTTCTTCCAAGCAGGGATATTTTTCTATGACAAAATATTATGGCATTATGAATGGATTGTGGATTGAGCTTGATCAGTATCAAAGTTTGACAATGGAGTGTAGCAAGGATGCAACCATCCTGGAGCCTCAGTTGAAAGTAATCGGATCTTTGATTTTCTTTGCGGCCTCAACTCTGAGTATGACATTATTCGGGTTCAAATTCTTGGTAAGGAAAAATTACCTTCTCTTTCTGAAGTTTTTCACATTTTTAGGGGTGAAGAAAGTTGCAGGGCTGTTATGATGGATGCCAAGTCGTTCAAATGGTTTGTTATGCTCTCATCTAACATCACTACTCCAGCCCTTTTTGACTCTAAGCCCACTGACATGTCTGTTATGATTTCGGCTAAGCCTCCTCTTCAAGGGTCCTTGTCTTCTAAGCCCTCTAAGCCCAACAAAGAGGGACATTGGTGCAACTATTGTAAAAGATCGGGTCACACAAAAGATGTTTGCTACTGTCTTCATGGGAAGCAATAGATTCTGGAGAAGCTTGGTAAGTCAGTCTCACGTGGTCAGTCATTTTTAACCTCCTCTGGTATCCCTACTGTGTATAAGGCCTTGCATGCGCCTGATGAGTTTACTACTATTCGTTATGAGGAATTAGATCGACTTAGGTGCGTGTTCGAATCTCTCAGTAAGCCCTTTGGTACTAGTGCTTTGGCTATGAATGGTAAAAACACATGCTCTCAATCTCTTATTGCTTTTTGCATTAATTTCAAAACCTCATAGATTGTGGATTTTAATATTGCCAGAACCTGCAATTGATGTGTGTGATCCATCAGCTACGGCTATAGTACGGAGACCAATAGTAGGATTATAAGAAAGAAAAAGATCATTGCAGCAAGTCATATGATCAGTAGTACCAGAATCCACAATCCATGAAGTTTTGAAATCAGTACAAGAAGCGATAAAAGAATGAGTGCATGAGTTCTTACCAGTCATGGCCAAAGTACAGTACTAGAAGGTTTATTGAGGGAGTCATATACGGACCTGAGCCGTTCCAATTCCTCACGGCGAACAGTAGTAAACTCACCAGGCATTTGTGTCTCATTCACCGGAGGAATGTCTGAAGGGGTCAAGAAAGATTGACCACGTCTCAAATCTTCACGTGAGGTGGCTTTCCAAGCTTCTCTAAAACCTGCTGCCTCCCATGAAGACGGTAGCAAACATCTTTTGTGTGACCTGGTCTTTTACAATAATTGCACCAATGCCCCTCTTTGTTGGGCTTAAAGGAAGAAGACCCCTGAGGTGACTTAGCTGAGATCATAGCAGACTCGTCAGAAGCAGTTGAAATAGTGACTTTAGATGAGATCATGACAGATCCTTCAGACAACTTGGTGTCCATCATGACATTCCTACGACTTTCTTCACCCCTGACAGTATGAAAAACTTCAGAAAGAGAAGGTAATTTTTACTTACCAAGGATTTGAACCCGAATAGGGTCATATTCTGAATTGATGCCACAAAGAAAGTCAAAGATTCGATGTCGTTCAACAGAGGAAGCCAGGGTGGTTGCATCCTTCCTGCACTCCATCTTCAAACTATCATACTGATCTAGCTCAGTCCATAATCCATTCAGATTTCCATAATACTCTGTCACAGATAAAGAGCCCTGCTTGGTAGGAAAAATCTTGTTCCTTAGATCATAGCAAGTGGCAACATCTTGTTTCATTGAATAGGTCTGATGAAGAATTTTCCAGATCTCAAGAGCAGTAGGTAAGAACATGCAATGTTGACTAACCTCGGGAGTCATAGAATTCCATAGCCATGTCATAATAAGAGAGTCTTCATCATCCCAATCAGCAAATTTTGGATATGCTTTGGCAATAACAGGTCCTTCAAGATGAGCAATCTTACAACGCCCTTTGAGAATTGTACGAACCAGCTGAGACCACTGCAAATAATTTTTTCCATTGAGACGATAATTCTGATGGAGAGCAGGTAGATCGTTTGGATTAAGAGAAGCAGCCATAGAGGATCTAACAGGTGGCTGAATTATCAGATTATCAGGCTGAATTGTCGGATTATCTTCAACGTCAGACATAAAATTTGCTAAAAAACTGACTGATCAGAACGATAAAGGTCGAATGTCACTGGAATAGTAACTAGGAGACCAGAACAGTAACAAATATGGCCGGAACAGTAACAAGGTGGCCGGAACAGTAACGAAGAGAAGAAGAAACACCGTGGGACGGCTGCAACGGGATCAAAAACCCAAGATAATCACAGATCCACACTCAGAAGGAGGCGAGCTGGTTTGTACTGGCCGCGCGTGAAGGGGGTGTTCCACGCGCCCCCACACGCCACTGCAGCTCCGGGAACGACGCGTCTCTTCCACGCGCGTGAGGGAGCGTCGGATAGGATCTCAAGGTGGGTCATGGACAGAGGAGGTCGCCTCGTCGTGGTGGTCACAGCCGTGGGTGAATTGTTGGAAAACTCGCCGGAGACGTTGGTCAACGACGGTCAACGGCGGTCAACAATGGAATTTCAACGACAACAGTGATTGGAACGTCGAACGGTGATCCTCTCGGTCCAAAAGGTCCCCCGGAAATATTTTCCGACGGCGGCTAATGGCGGCGAGAGGCGATATATAAGGATTCTCTTTTTTAAGACGGTAGATGCGGAAGCAGAGCCCTCAGGATCGAGAGCTCTGATACCAAATTGAAAGAAATATATTTGTATTATAAAACTGTGTGTTATCTGTACAAGAGTTCTCTATTTAAAGAGAATAAAGAAACCTAATGGGCTAAGCCCAAAATACTGACTATTGCAAAATTACCAAATAATAAAATAATTCTAGTATTTACAATATATATATATATATATATATATATATATATATATAATATATATATATATAGGGTTTATTGTTTCTCCTGTCACATGAGATAAAGTTATCTCTTGCAACCCCAAAACTATGTAGTTTTGAGGGTTAAGAGAATTAATGAGGGGTGTTTTGGTAAAATTTATATAATAAAGGTAATGAACAAAATTATCAAAACACCCCTCATTTATTCTCTCAACCCTCAAAACGATGTAGTTTCGGGGTTGCAGGGGATAACTTTATTTCCTGTGACATGAGAAACAATTTTCGCATATATATATATATATATATATATATATATATATATATATATATATATATATATAGGGCTTTACTTTTCTCAAGCCGCTTGACGTCCAACAAATAAATTCGGAGAATCATAACTATACAAAGGTTGATGAAAGCATTAAATGTGGGGAATTGCAACCAATCAACGGTATAAGATCTATTGCTGGACGTCTAGCAACTGGAGAAATGATTTTACCATATATATATATATATATATATATATATATATATATATATATAGTTATTTTCTTTTTGTAGGGAGCTATGTTGCACCGAGCCATGACACGACACGACGACATGTTAATTCTAAAAAATGTCATATTTCGACACGTTAGGACATGTTTTGATATTAAATAATATTTTTTAATATATATAACAGTCCATAATAAGTCGTATAACAAATTAAATATTCAAATTCCATAACATAGATATAAAGCAAAAGTAATTTTTGATAGCTTGTTAATTTTTTATGTCAAATTCCATACTAGAGGAAGCATTATAATTTATACTCAAATGTTCTGTTGTAAAAAAAAAATGCATTTCTGAAGTACTTTTATTTAATGTGTATTTAAGAGAAAATTAGGATTTACATTTTGGATGAAACATAGTAGTTGATCATTTCAGTTACTTAGTGTGTGTATGACAACTTTTCTGTTCTCTGACTCTATTTTTGGATAGCAATAATTTTTTTATCTTTATGCATAGGAAGAGTTTTTGGGCAGAAACACATTATAATAGAGAGTTTCTTTTTTATTTTTTCAATTTTCAAATGCTGATAACACATTCCACAATTTGTACTTAATAAATAGTGTGCCTGAGAATGAAGAAACAAAAAAAAAAAAGTTGTTTCTTCCTTTTTTAGTTTTTGTTCCCGGGTTACCCGTTCATTCTTTGGAATAAAAAAATAAACCGGATTTATTAAACACAATTTCTAACTGTTTCTGGTCCCCAGATTAAATTTTTTTAAAAAAATATGTTTTGGGAATGCTGTCATGCTCACCCTTACAATTCTTAATATCTTTTAAATCGTGATCCTGACTTCGTCTTTTTTTTCCATAGTCCGTGCTTATAAACTCACTATGTCTTCTGCAGGTAATTGGCCATCAGAAGATGTTCTTGCTCATTATTGCTTGTCACATGCAGATATATTCAGGTCTGAAGATTTTATTCAAATTTGAATAACTAAATTTTATTTTTCCTCTTTTGTTCTTCTGTTTATTGCAAGCATCTTTTCCACTGTCATTCTCTGTCACTGTGACCTTGTGCTGGTATAATTTCTTTGTATGCATTTATTCTTTTAGGTCTAAAAAAGTTATTGAGCTTGGTTCTGGCTACGGCTTGGCTGGATTTGTAATTGCAGCTGTTACTGAGGCATCAGAGGTTGTAATGTCAGATGGAAATCCACAAGTAGTTGATTGTATCCTTTTGGGTTTAGTTATATGTAGTTCTTAAATTCTTAGGATTTTAAAAGAGAGAATTAATTGTATTTTAAAGAATTCAATACTTTTTTGGTAACCCGATCTAAAGAATGGTACTTCAGTGCCTTCTGGGTATAAATTTAAACAATTTTTTTCTCTTTTTATGATAATGGGAATAAACGTGAAACGACTGGATTAAGATCTGGTGATCACCTTTTAAACTTCTGTTCATAAAAGAGGTTAGGTGTCTTATATATGTAAAATATACTTTTGATAGCACCTCTGATGCCATAGTTGGTTGATTTGTTTCCCTAAACCTTGTTTGAACTTATTTGCTGAAGTGTTTTTCACTGCAGTTTGATGTCTTCTAACAGGGAAGATAGGGTGATTAGTGATAGACGAACTTGGTGAGAGGCTTTGAAAGTTTTACCAGAGAGTTGAAGTTGACCAATCAGATGAGTTTGATTGCAATTTCGTGATATTTTTTTGTGCTCTCTGTAGACTTATGTGTCCTACTTCTGACAATATGGAAGTGATAGTCTAAGAGTGTGGACAGTTATTCTACATATCAATTTCAGTGTTTTTTTTTTTAGTTTTCTTACGGACAGGAAAAAACCACTAAAGAAAAAATATTAGAAAAGCAAAGCTAGGTAATAGGTTGGGAAGTGATAGAAAAAATTGGTGAAAGTTTTTTTAGTCCAACGCAGTAAATTGCTAGTTCAATTTTTTATTTTTTTTTGAAAAAACAAAGGTGAAAGCAAAGCTACACTGTCAATATGTGGACAAACAGAATGGTAAGTGATAGAAAAACTTGGTGAAAGATTTCTTATTCCTGCGCTGTAAATTGCTAGCTTATTTATTTTTTTAATTGAAAGTAAAGCTAGTCTTTCATACCTGGACAAACAGGTTAGGGAAGTAAAAGAAAAACTTTGTTGAAGTTTTCTTATTTCTGTGCAGTAAATTGCTAGCTTGTTTCTATTTTTATTAAATGAAAGTTTCTGTTATTTGACTTAATTTTAAGAGTTTGGCTGGCTTGTCTTTGCCTTTTGATTAGGGGAGAGTAACTTTTTTAGGGGAGACACAAACACGTTTTGTTTTGCAGGGCATAAGAAACAATATTCTGGATTCTAGTAATAACAAGAACTTACTAGTATAATTACTAGACAAGAGCGATGAGCGTCTCAAGGCTGACCTCCGACCCACAATCCCAGCACTAGGTCTTCTGGGGGACCGCCTTTGAATGAGCCTCCATTAGAAGGGCATAACCTTGCACCTCACGTCTCTGTGCTTTTTTTGGGTGACCCAACGGTGTGACTTTTTAATGGGGATCACTATTTTCAATATTACAGTGTTAGGCATTTATTAGTGTCTAGTAATAAAAAGATTAGATTGGTGTCAATCCTAAATTGTTATCAATTATAAATAGCATTTATTGTTTTTACCGTTTTAGCTCAATGCTTGTTATAAAAGGTTAGTTGACTACGTGGAATAAACAAGAAAATTACTTCCTTCCAACAATTTTCTGATTTTCTTCTCTCTCACTCTCAATCAAGCTCTCATTCTTGCATCTCTCTCTCCCTTTCTCTGATTTCAATAAAAACTCACTTAACAGATGATAACAGTAAATCCAGAACTGATGTACAATCTTATGCACAGTTCTGGTATATATAATTATACTTGGTTTACATTTAATCCACAGAAGGGTGGGGTGTGTATGTGTTAACAAGTGCTCTGAACTCTGAAGCTGGTTCAAGTTTCAAATGAGTCTTGCAGAGGACAACTCTGACTTGGACAAGCATTTGGGCTACCTACAGCTTTTTTTGTTGCATCTGCATAGATCTAATTATTATGTTAGCTTAAAAGTTCTTTAAAGCACAAACTTCTTTTGATTTTTAGGTTTAAACTGGTACGTAGCATCTGATGTTCGATATATGAATATGTTAGTAAAACCATTTATAATTTGAAGTTGAAACATTGAAGCAAAAGTATAGACAACTAACAATTTAAAGATAGAATTTTTTTAAAGAACTAGGGGGCGTTTGGTTGAGGAGAAATTTTTTGAATACTAAGGAAATAGAATTGATAGGGAAATGATAAGAAAGTTAGATAAAGTGAGATAGATAGGAAAATGTTAAAAAAAATTGTTTGGTGGGGAAAAACTTTACTGGGTGTTTTGCTTCATTTTCCTAGCTATCTTTGAAAAACCACATACAAATTGGCTTTCCTAACAGTAGATTTTCCTAGCTATCTACCACAAAATGCTGAAATCTATGCAAATCACTTAGATGGGGAAATTGAAGAAAATCGTGAACCAAACATGGCTGTTTTGCTTTTCCACTTTCACTTGCATAGACATCCTCAAGAATACCCCCAACCAAACACCACCCTAATGTAGTCTGTTGGTATTAATACCAGCTTGTGTGCTTCAGCGTCCTTAACCCATTGCTTTTGGGTTGAACGCTCCTGTACATATTTGTCGATTCTCACTTTGTACTTAATGAGAAATTTCTCTTCCCATTGTGCATGCTCATCCCCAATCATCGAATAACTAAGGCTCCGTCCTTTTTTTTTAAAAAGAAAAGAAAAGAAAAGAAAAAAACAATTGCTTGCAGCAATAGCCCTTTTGAGAATGTGCTGTTGTCATGAAATATTTTCTTGTTCAATAGGATTGCTTTTCCATGACATTCAGATACTCAGCGTAACATTGAGGCCAACTCTGGAGCATTTGGGGACACAATTGTGAAGTCTATGATGCTTCACTGGAATCAGGAAGATACTTTTAAAGATGCTGACACTTTTGATATCATTGTTGCAAGTGATTGGTAAGATTTTCTTTGAATTTTCAACTGTTACATACCTGGTTTCTATACCTCTTTTTCCTTTCTTAGATGAAAATCTTATTTGCAGTTCTAGTGATACAGCTGTAAGCCTGTAACTGCTTACTTAATGGAAAATGTTATTTCATGACTTTTACATCCTTTTTTTTATTTTTATTTTTAAAATAATTTGGATAAGAGCCAGCCAAAGAGTTCAGCGTAGTTGGTAAGCATGAGGCTCTAAGTCTCTTGTTTTTCTGGCAGAAGCTATCTCTTTTTCTGATGAATAAAATTTTTCTTTCTTGTTATTGTTGGCAAATGGCGTTACTTTTCTTTGTTTTCTTTTGTTAACTTTTTAGCAGTTTCAATTTTTAAAGTTGGATATGTTCAGATATCTAAATTTATTCTCAAGTTGATAAAAGGCTGTTATATCTTTATACGAAATGCATTGGCAGATTCACATGCATGCAGCTTGACTCGCTTTTTGTTTTGGTCTTTATGCTATCCTTATCTTTATATTTACGACATTGATTGGTCATTTTCACAGCACTTTCTTTAAGGATTTTCACCGAGGCCTTGCTCGTATTGTCAAACACTTATTATCAAAAGCAGGATCTTCTGAGGCTATATTTTTGTGCCCTAAAAGAGGCAACTCATTGGACCTGTTCTTGGAAGTGGCTGAAGAAAATAGCTTGCATTTCAGTGTAACAGAGAACTATGACAAAGATGTTTGGAAACGTCATGAGGGATTCTTAAATGGAGAAGATAGGGACTGTTGGCCCAGTTATGAGAAAGGTCACTGCTATCCACTCTTAATCAGAATTACCCTTTGAACTTGCTTTCAGATATTCTGCCTGGGGCCTTCTTCCACCGTTGGTTGACACATGTTAGAAAGAGATAAAGTGCAAATCTATTCCTCTAACTCTGGAAATGCCCGAGTATAGACACTAACCAATGGCACGCTTTCATTGCACAAAATATTGTTTTGTTGGGGTCACATCTTCAGCAGACAGCACTATTCTCAGCCAAGAAGGCTCAAATGAATATGAAGCGTATGCGGTGATTCACCTCAAGTGAATATTAAAATTTCGGTCCCAAAAGTACTGCAGATTATTTAAACTTTTTTTCTTATCCACTTGGTCTTTGCAACCTGAAAAAAAGAAAAAGGTAAAGAAGAAAGTAATTAGCAGTTTTGCGTGTGGTAGATTATTAAAATAGCAGGTTAGATGAATCATGTGTGGATTTATTATGGTTTTATAATTGTGATGGGATCTTGCATATGCTACTGGTTTCTGCATTGCAACTTTTGACAGAAAAAGGTTCCTTATCTAAGTTATCTTTGTTGAAGCATCAAAGTTACGAGACTATAAAGCTTTCAGAAGAGCAGTCCATCGAGTAAACAAAGCAACTCCACCATGGGATGAAGCTAGCAATTGATTCAATTAAACTAGAATTTAATGCAAGTGGAGGATTCTTGCTTGCTTTTTCCTTGTAAGTAACAGTAATGGGGTGTGCTGTCTTTGCGGTGAGAGATTATTCATAGACTTGACTCGGGAGTCTTAGCTATTACGGAAGCAACTATTAATATTAATTTCCACATATTGCTTTGTTGATTGGACTCGTCTAAATGTCCCCTTGTTGTACCCTTGCGGATGATATTGCGATCCCTAGTGTCTGGTTGGTAGAAAAAACAGTGCGGGCCAGACACAACCTTTAAGACAGTTCATATTCGGTTATAATAATATGAGTTTTATTAATCTCATGTTAAATGAGATAATTATCAAATTAGTGGGCTCCACTACCTGAAAAAATAAAATAAAAATAAAAAAAAAGTGACACAATTATCGAAGGGTGTGTAGGAAAGAAAATTTATCTCATGTGACATGAGAATAGTTTTTTCCTAATAATATACATACTAGCTGCTATTTTAGTTATGGTAAATACTAGTTTCATCTTAGGAGGTTAGTTATTTCATGCCATAAACATAAAGCATATAAGATTTATTATTTTTAAAATAAATAAATGTTTACTTACCTTTTGATGTATAAGTAGGAGAAATATGTTATTCTATGTAACATGAGAAAAATATATCCCTTCAATTAATATTAAAAAAGTTTCCTAATTGTTGAATCTACGAGTCCGCTTTTCCGCAAGAAACATATTTGGTTATAGCAGACTTGCCTATCCAAGAAACATGGGAAGCACTGAAATAATCTTGCAAAAAAGTAACTGTAAACTACCAACGACCCACCAGTTTTGAACTTTAGGATTGTTTGTAATGTTTTTAGAATTTTGTCAATGTTCTGCTTGTTTTTACCGCGTCGAGGGACCTAAGTAGAAAAATTATTTGAACTTTATGAATCTTTTTAAAAACCTCTAAAAATATAAGATTCGATTAATTTTTTTTAAAATTATTTAGACTTGTTTAAAAATTTGATAAAACTATAAGTAAAATAAGTTAACCTAAGATTGATTAAGCACAATAAGCATGAAATGGACTAAGGAAGCCATTTGTAAACAGTAAACACGGACAAGAGAATTAACCCCCTATTTGTTAGAAAATAATATAAAATATAAAAAGGTCCTTATTCAATTTCTTAAAGTTTTGGGTTAAAGTGATTCTTTGTTTAAGGTGTTGGGTGATGACTTTTTTAATGATTTATATTAGAGTTTGATGTTTGTCATTTTAAATGGCATAAGTTATGTCATTTTAAGAGAGATATAGACACATGAAATGAAAATCATGGGAAAGAAAGTGAGTGATTTTTTTTATTTAAATTTTAAGTAAAAAAATAATTTCTTGTGTCTATCTCTCTCTTGAAATGACATAACTTTATGTCATTTAAAATGACAAACACTTTTTCTTTTATATTATTTTCTAACACACCCCCTCCTCATGTAAAAGCCCCTTGAACTTGAAACGTGGTTATTGCTTTTTTAACGATTTATATTATTTTTTAACACACTCTCACATAAAAGCTCTTTTAAATTTGAAATATGGATTCTCCTCAACTTCAGCACTCAATACTGTAACTGTTTTTTTCTGGTGCGTATGGAATCAACTAAAAGGTAGGTGTAGTCGACTATATATAAGAGCACTCGAAGAAAAAAAATTAACCTAAACAATTTTTTTTTTCTTTCTAACCTCTTAGTTTGCATGCAGTCGACTACATGACTCTTGTAGTGAACAACTAGGATTCTCTAGAATTGTGTTTCAAATGCAAAACAGGAAAATATAAACTTGAAAGTTTTGGTAGTGGACAACATTGTGTGTAATCGACTACAAGAGTTGAAGATTATCGAAATCATGAAAGAGTATCTTCTTCCACAATTTCAATCACCAATGGCACCCAAATGTAAACTAGAGACAAACTACCCTTGCATTCAATGTTTGCATCAACAAATGCAATAGGACATATTCTATTGTCGGTATCCAAACTCCAAAGACACCGTTGAAAGACACTGCACCATAAAGGCTCTTCGAATGGCATCTATCTAAAGTCCAAAGAAAGGTTCTTCATCCTTTGAGTGAGAACAAATCTTCACGGTACCTAATTTTTATTTCTGTTATGAACTGATACATATCGTAACAATCTATTCAAGCCTAATTGCTACAAGATCAAAGTATAAGATCTCTATCCCAACAATCATGTCAATTAGCAAACACTCTAGAGGTATCCAAGGCCCATACCCAAAAGGTAAACGCTATAAATAAAGGCTAAAGACTCGAGTTATATACTTTTGAACTTACTTTATGTTGTAAATAATTATATTTGTTTATTTCCATTCTAGAATCTTCTTTGGGCTTAACCCATTAGGTTATTTAATATTTTTAATTAGAGAGCAATTGTACATATGTAATACACAATTATCAAATAATATCATCCCTTTTTCAACTTGGTATCAGAGCTCTCGATTCTGAGGGCTTTGCTTCTGCGACGGTCGCCTTTAGAGCGGAACCCTATTTTTTTGCCTCTAGCTTCCACCAGCCGCCACTGGAAATTTTTTTCAGGGATCTTTTGGACCAAGAGGACCACCGATACACTCCTTTTTCCCTAATCTATCAATCTACGGATACTTCCCAGTCACAAAACGACCCAAACAACCACAAAACATTGTTCCTGTGATCCAAACAGCCCAAAAACACCGTTCCTGCTACTGTTCATCACCAGAAAACATTGTTACGGTGACCTTTAGAACTTCGACTAGCCACAGATAGGACCACTACCTCCGGAAGACCTCGTCGTGCTAAGCCCAAAGCCGCCGGAAGCCTCCCGAGCTTTCACACGCGGCCTCAATTCTTTGCGCGTGGGACTCACGCCCTACCACTTCCCTGGCATGTGACGGCGCATGCAGCCACCGTTTTGCCTCGAACCACCACGGTTTTGATCATCTCTTCTTCCCGATTCTAGATCTGTGTTTTTCTCTTCATTCAGACGTCATCTGGGTTTGCGTTTATGTGGTTTTCACCTCAAGTTGCAGTCTTTTTGGCCCTTTTTTTGGTTCCTTTTGGCAGATGTGATAATTCTGCCTCTGTTTGGACTCTCCAAATACCTTTGGGGTAATTTTTTATAATTTGAGATTGGTTTGTTTCTTTTGAGGTTATTTTAGCATTATAGCAGGTTCCAATGGTGCATCTTCGAAATTTATTTCTATTCGCCGAGATAAGTTGGAGCGGATTCGGACTATGCTTGATTCTCTGAGTAAGCCATCTAGTACTAGTGCTTTGGCTATGAATGGTATGAGTTCCACTACTCATTATTTTCTTGCTTCTTGTACTGATCTTAAACATTCTTGGATTATCGATTCTAGTGTTACTGATAATATGGCTTATTGTCCTGACTTCTTTCTTTCTTATAACCTAACTATTGGCACCTATACGATAGCCGTAGTTGATGGCTCACACACATTAGTTGCAGGTTCTGATAACATATATTTACAGCCTTCCTTACATCTCCAAAATGCTCTTTATGTTCCCAAACTCTCCACTAATCTTCTTTCTATCCATAAAATTACCAAAGTTTTGAATTGTATTGTAACTTTCTTCCCTACTCACTATGTTTTTCAGGATCTCGTCACAGGGAAGACGATTGGGGGTGCTAAGGAGCAAGGATCACGCCTTATTGACTCAGTCTCAGTTTACTGCTGACTCTTTGATTTGGCTCCATCATAAACGCTTGTGGCATCCTCCATTTTGTTTGCTTAAGTCTTTATTTCCCATCATTATATTTGTCTAAGCATGTTGAGTCTTTTCATTGTGATGTTTGTGAGTTTTCTAAACACCATTGTGTCTCTTTTCCTTCTAGTACCATTAAAAGTGTTGAGCCTTTTGATCTTGTTCATTCTGATATTTGGGGTCCTTCTAAAGTTTCTCATGCTTATGGTAATAAATTGTTTATTTCTTTCATTGATGATTGCACTCGTTTAACCTGGGTTTATTTAATGCATGAAAAATATGAGGTACCACAATTATTCTTTCGATTTTATAAAATGATTTTATAATCAACCGCTTGCCCTCTTGAGTCCTTGATAATGTAAGTCCTATTCATTCAATGACTTTATTCTTTCCCTTTGTTCCCTCTATGCAGAGTCTTCAGCCATAAATGTTTAGGTGTGTTGTCTTTGTCCACGTTCATAAACATCATTGTATAAGTTGGATCTTAGGGCTCTCAAATGTATCTTCCTTGGTCATGCACCTAATAAGAATGGCTAGAAATGTTATCATCTTGCTAGTCGAAAATCCTTTGTCTCAATGGATGTCATATTTCATGAATTTGAATCTTTTTTCCCAAGTCCTCATCTTTAGGGGGAGAGAAATTCTTCTGTACATTCATCACTTTCTTTCTTTAAGTCTGGACTTTCCATTTCTTCTCCTACACCTCTTCCTTTTTGTTTCTGATTCTTCTGTGTCTGGCCCATCCAATACACCGAAAATACGGAGGATTATGACACTTGAGTTGGTATATCACGGGAGAAAGCAGCTGACATTGCTTCACCAGCAACCTCAATCGTCTGAACTACTGATAAGTCCTGAATCTCTTGTTTCTGACCCTAATATTATCACTTCTTCTGTTTCTGAACCTAATATTGTTTCCTATAATGATTTTCCTATTGCTTCTGATAGCTTACCCATTACCTCTGATGACTTATCTATTGCTCTAAGAAAAGGGAAAAGATCTTGTATTCATAAATCTTGTCATTCTTTTCCATCTTGTACCCAACACCCTATCTCTCATTTTGTCCTTTCTAGTAACCTTTATGTGCAGCACAAAAGCTTTATTTCAGCACTAGATTCTATCTCAATTCCAAAATCAGTACATGAAGTTTTAAAAGATGAGAATTGGGCTTGAGCCATGCAAGATGAAATGAATGCCTTGGAGAAAAATAAAACATGAGAGGTTGTTGATAAACTTGATGGAAAGAAAGAAGTAGGGTGCATATGGGTTTATGCCTTGAAATATAATTCTGATGGTACTCTCAGACCTATGGTATTGATTATGAAGAAACTTTTGCCCTAGTTGCAAAGATTAATACTGTGAGAGCTTTGTTGTCCCTTGTTGCCCATTACAACTAGGATATGAATCAATTTGATGTGAAGAATGTTTTCCTTAATGGTGAGTTAGAAGAAGAATTCTACATGAAAATCCCACCTGGCTTTGACTTTATGGACGGA